GAGTCTAAAGCTTTCTCAGGAGAATAGAGGCTGTTTCTGCAGCAAAAGGAGAACAAGCCTAATAATAATACCCTTAATGTCAGAAGAAACATTGAAGATGAGTTGTCCACACACTTTTGGACACTGTACATAAACTGGCAACAGAGTTTATTTTTTCCTGTTTTGTTTCCCACTCTAAAAACTGTGTTTTGTAAATGTCCTTCATAAAAGGAATCAGATTGTGTTTGAGAGCATGTGCATCAGTGTGGCTCTTACATGGCCAACCGTTTCTTCTTCCTCTTGACTTCAGCACTTTTGTTTTATGACGAGGTCGTCACACTGATCTTGTCCAATTATTGGTCCAATCTCAGCTTTATTTTACGGTCAGTTTGTCTCCTTTATGATGGCACATCCATCACACTGAATTGTGGAGGGAAAGGTAAGGGGTGGGGAGCTATAATGCTGTCCATCCTTGTGGCTAGCTTCCTAAGAGCATGTTCACAGAGACATGGCATTCTCAGATACCAATCTGGAAACAGTTTTTTCTGTATTCTGTCCTCTATCGTTACAGTCGGAAGTGCAGTGCTGATTGCAAATAAGCAGGAAATAGCAGCCGGAGCTACCAGCACAATCATTTCAGCACTGGTCCACATCATAGGTGTCCTCTATGTGATACGCAGCTGTAGTACTGAGCAATATGTTGTCAGCACCAGTGTGTCTGTATTGGTGTCATTCTGTGATACTAACTTTAAGTTAGAGCTGTATTGATAGATAAAAGGCATTATATTTATCATAATATTCCTTGAAATAGTAGTGTCCTTGTTGCCAAGCAGTTTGTTTTCAGTGTTGTTTTTATTCTGTCTTGTGCACTTTTGGCATGGTGTCCACAATCTGACAGTCAACTGCAACGTGTGTTATTTATTCAGTGCTTCTGTTCAGATGGTTTTGAAAGAATAGCTGGAATGCGTAATACATTTAATAAATTTAAAACTGGAATCAAATCTGGAAATGGATTGGTAAAACATAAAGAGAAAATGGAACAAAACAGTCCAACAAAAATGAGAGATGACCGGTTTGTAATATAGTCTTTCAGCACAGAGTTCCAGCACTCAGTAAGCATGGTTTTGTTCCCTTTTATTAATAGAACCCTTTTTATTTTTTTTACCCCAGTTTTTCCCTAATTTAGTCATGGCCAATTCCACACACTAGTTTGGCCTCCTCTTATCACACAATGCTGTCATGAAGCTATGAGGGTGAAGGCCAGCACTAGGAAAGGTGCACGGGTACTCGAGTGCTCACCTGACCATTTAAGTTATACTGCCAGTAATACTGACACCATTATTCAGGTATTCGTTTAGTTTTACTATGGAAAGAAGGAACAAATATACAGTAAAAGCATTAAGTGAAAAGCTAATTTTATGAGTGTCTCAACAAGATCACGTTGCCAAGGACATGTTGTTAAGGATGTGACTAAGATGGCAAAGAGAGCAAAACAGGTACGGTGCAGTTTTTTGCTGACTAGGCTAACCTGCTATAGCTGATGTTAGTTTGGTGTAGAAGGAGTGAAAATGTTCCTCTGACAAACTAACATTTTGGCACATCTTCCACCTGTAAGAAGACAACGAGTCGTCATCAGCATCCAGTATTGTACTGGTGATCCCTTTTAGCTCCAGGGTTGGGATGTAACAGAATACGTGTTCAGAATACAGACATGAATTATTCAGTCAAAGTTACGTTGAGAAAGATCAGTATTCAGCTTACAGTTACCTTTTGCATTTTTGGGAGAATGCTACCATCTTTAAAAGAAACTACATCAATGCTTGTTTATTAAAATCAGCGTACAGTGTGTAAAGATGTTCTGTAAAGAAGAACTCAAAAAATGGCCTCTTTACAGACACAGTGCCTTATCAAGATGTATTCTAAATGTATTCTGAATGCATTATTTTCTATGTATTGTAATGGTATATGTAATTGTATAAATTTAGCCATGTGTATTCGGTCACTTTTTCAAAGGCTCCTGCTTAACGCTGGTTAGCTTTTTAGCTCATCTGAAGAGGGAGCGTCCATTACACGGAAACCTACCGATTTCCCTCGGGGAAAAAAAAGGCCTAAACATGTTTTAAAATGTGTTCCTATATGTGCTGCTGCACTAGTGCTGTCACCTGAAAAAGAAGCCTAGAGCCACACAGTAATTTTTTTTCCTGTTTATTTCCTTTCCTATGCTTAACTGATGATATGTTTGTTCTTTATGTATATTTGAATACCATAACTGGTCAACATGCACATGACTACTTAGCATGTGCTTCCTCTGAAACACGAGATTCCAGCCACTGCATTTTTTTGAGCTGCCCTAACGCATGGTCATTGAGCTAGGGTGCTAAGTGCCAGTTGTTGTTGGTGCTAACAGATGCACACATTGGCTAGCATAATGCTAAGTGATGTGGGAGAGGGAGGACCATCCAACCCACCCAGAGAGAGCGAGGCCAATTATCCTTTTAATCACTTCTGGCCACGGATGGCTGTGGCATCACCTGAGATTAAAGTTGCAATTTCCTGATTAAGCAAACTTGCATATCATCTGATACCATGATCACCTCTGAAAATATAGAAAATATTGTTATATTGAAGTTTATCAATACCATCCTGTACCAAACCACTAGTGAACTGCTGGGAAAGTGCACCATGATACCTGTATGTCCGTGTTGATTAACACTGAAACCCAATTCTGAACAGCCATGAAAATCAAGCTTTCAATTCAGTTCAATTCAGAACCATTGGCCACCTGTGCTTGCACAGAGGAATTAGACCTCTGCATTTAACCCATCCGTGCAGTGAAACACCCACATACATGCACACTAGTGAACACACACGCTAGGGGGCACTGAGCACACTTGCCCGGAGTGGTGGGCAGCCCTATCCACGGCACCCGGGGAGCAGTTGGGGTTTATGTGCCTTGCTCAAGGGCACTTCAGTCATGTCCTGTTGGCTCAGGGGATCAAACCGGCGACTTCCGGGTCACAAGGCTGGTTCCCTAACCTCCAGCCCACGACTGTCCCCAGGCACTCCTTGTCAAGCTGCCTGAAAAAAAAACCCCAAAACATTCTGTGTCCTGCGAGTCACACAGCTATTAAACCAAACTAAAGCTGGAATGATCAGAATTTATTTAGCTAGCCATGTGTTTTAGTTACATTGCTGTGTGCTAGCTAGGGTACCCTTGCTAGCATCTAGTTCACTACCTCAGATTAGACTACACTGATCAACACTATGCTGCATATGAAGCTTATTATAACTTTTCACATGTCTGTCTAAAATATTACGTGTCTTTTAAATAACGTTGAAGTGGTGCCTGTAAGCTTTGCGTTAGCTATGAAAAGGCTGTCTGTAAGTTGGATTAAAGCAGGATAAATGGCCTCACCTGGCTCGCTGTGAGATGAGCCTCATTCCTCCTCAGAGCTTTTAAAACCTTCCCCTCAGCAGTTTCCTCTAAGGCTATATTACATTGGCTCAGGGCACAATAAGTGACCATCAAAGTTTTTGGCAAAAGTATCATCCCTCCTAAATAACTTGATCTGTCAAGTCATTAATTTGGAGGATGGAACAAAAATGTGCAATGCTGTGCAGACTGATTTTTATTGTCCTCAGCAGCGTCAGATGGTTCAGTGCCTTTAAAGTTGTAAGGTCAGAGGAATGTAGTGATCCTTCTCACCATCTGTTCTGTGGGGAAACTCTCTATTACACTTTCTCTCTCTTTATCACTGCCTGTGCCTCGCTTGTCTTCTGCTTGCCGTGCTTGTGTTTGACCTTTCCAACACAAGAAAGCTCAATTCAAGAAAGCCTGGTGTACAAATTTAGTACATACTATACCGAATGTACATACATAACAATGTGTAGCTCAAATAATGCTTCTGAAATTAATGTTCAGTGTACTAAGGCTGCAGCTTACTACGTTTACTGCCTTAACTACAGTGAATGAGAAGGAGAATAACAGTTTAATGGTGGAAGGATTTATCATTGAGAAAGTGAACAACACTACAACAGGCACTGTTTCTATAATAGGGAGCAGTTTTGAATGCAGCTTTAAAAAATACAATTCAGTTTTACTGCTAGATTTCATACAGTGCTCACATATACACTATATGGACAAAAGTGTTGGGACACCTACACATTACACCCACAGGAGCTTTTGTGACATCCCATTCTAAATCCATAGGCATTAATATGGAGTTTGTCCCTCTTTGCAGCTATAACAGCTTCCACTCTTCTGGGAAGCTTTCTACAAGATTTTGCAGTGTGTCTGTGGGATTTTTTGCCCATTCATCCAGAAGAGCATTTGTGAGGTCAGACACTGATAATTCAACAGAGGATAGGCGCTGTGCGCTTCAGCACTTGGTGGCCCCACTCTGTGAGTTTGTGTGGTCTACCGTTTCGTGGCTGAGCTGTTGTTGCTCCTTGTTACTTCCATTTCAAAATAATAGCACTTACAGTTGAGTGGGGCAGCTCTAGCAGGGCAGAAATTTCTCAGACTGACTTGTGGCAGTGGTTGCATCCTATGACAGTAACTAATTATTATTAGTTATTATTGGTTCAAAAGTTTGTGCAGCAGCATAGAAAACCATTTGGACACAGTGGATGACTGGTTTCATGGCTTCTACAAGAGACATTAGGCGAGCGATTAATAATCACTGTTCTTGCCGAGCATCAAGACGGGGTAAAACTTTTCCACCAAAAACACAATATCCCAAGCAATATGCAGAATATCTTTTAATACTTTGTAGTTTTTATGTTTCGTACATTTATTCAAAAGCAGAAATAAAACAATAAATTAAAAAAATGAACAAACTCTTGTTTTTTTAAAAGAGTTTTCCATGTTGATGCATCACTAAAATGAGCGGTTTATCGTTGCCTTGGTAACATGGTTAATCATTGCTGGGCACGAGTTTAGTTGGTTTTGCGAACCAGAAATGAGGATTTTGTGCATCTGTACATACAAGATCATGTTTTTTTTTTCTGTGTTCTTACAGCTGTGGGAAATTTCCTCTGGAGAGATGCTTCTGTCGGTCCTTTTCGATGTCAGCATCATGTCAGTGACTCTTGACCCCTGCGAGTACTTTGCGTTCTGCGGAGGAAGTGATGGAAGTATCTTTCAGGTGTCCCTCTGCAGCACGGTAAGCCTTATGTTCTTGTTGCAGGTCTGTTAATGTTCAGCATGTGTTCACTTATGTAATTAAGCAAGAAGCTCTCAGCATAACACATTAAATGAGGGGCTGATTTCAGACCCTGTAGCTCTGCTGGTGGATACTTACAACTGAAATAGGAAAAAAAAAGCTTCCCATCTTTCGGACTGCACTTTAAACAGTACGGACGTTCCATCATTGGTTTTCAGTTGCTGCTTGCCTCATTATTGTTTTAACAACGCCTCCACTCTTTCCTCGTCGATGTATGGATCCTGTGTCAAGTCAGGTCTTTTTCAAATCCATATTTGTCCTCCAACTTTCTGGTGAACCTCCCAGTACTGTAAACTCGAGTAGCTGTTTGGTTTGAGGTTTGAGAGGGGAATCTTTATTTTATAGGAGAATGGCTGTGATCAGCTGACAGCTCCTTTACGTCTTCCCTCAGCGGTGCTTGATTCACTGTGGCTGAGGCTGCTTGATGCAGTGCTTTGAAGGAGGGATTGAGCTGGCTTTTTTTTCCCTCTTCTTCCTTTTTTTTTGGTCCCAGTCAGGTGCATTGTGTGAAGTTCAGGGCAGGTAGGGCCATGAGAAGTACAGCTCATACAGCAATAGAGTGGAAAGATGTCAGAAACAGCAGAAAGCCTTGCTCTAGCAGCTCGCCTGAATCCACCTTTGCAGAGGAAGACGGTATCAAAGGGAATTTTTATCTAAATACGTCATTGAGTCCAGTTGTCAGTTTTTTATCAGGGCCTATGTAAAGCGTTCTGTCCAGGAGAATCTTTTGCAGATGTCTGCTTTGTGAATAAAGTGAACGTGGGCAGACAGGGCTTGTATTGTAAATCAGGACTGCACTCTCTTGGTAATTACAAACTTGTTATTTCGGACAGGAACACCCATTTTGGTCCAGATGGTCACGCAGAGCAGGGCTGTCTACTGTAAATCACGCTTTAGTGTGCGCTTGTACACAAGCCAAAACATGCACTTCAACCCAGTGCATCACATCAGTACTGCAAGGTCATTACGACTACAGGATCCTTCATTCCTATTAGAACAGATGCTCATTGTGGTAGTTTGTAGAGGTGTAGCAACACATTTGGCTCACAATTTGATTTTGGTTCATGATTTGTTGAACAATTTTTAAATGAATCCTTTGAATAGAGAAAATGATGACCATCCATGTAGTTGCACAATCTACTAATAATCTACTAATAATTAGGACTGCAACTGAATTTTTGAATATTCTGTTGCAGATTATTTCGAAATTATCTGTACAATCTGAGTGTTTTATAACAATAAGAAAAGCTCAAGATGTATGTTTTAACCAATGAATGCCTGTAGTAGTAGTAGTAGTAGTAGTAGCAGTAGTAGTAGTAGTAGTAGTAGTAGTAGTAGTAGTAGTATTTCTCATTGATTATATTTTTGCATGATGGCTGGATCTGTTTTTCTTCTTTTTTAATTTAAGCTTTTAATAAAACAAGCTAATGGAAAAACATCACTGATAAACAGTTATTGTCATTGCAGCTAGCACAAAATTCTAATCCGGGGGCACCTGGTAGCCTTGACCAGGCTGTTGAGACTGTTTAGAGTGTCAATTATGAGCAGTGCAGAAGAGCAGAGGAAACAGCGTCACACATTCAGTCTGTTTACACCTTGATTTAACATGTGTTTCGTGTCCAGATCGTATCTGGATAAACTTCGGCTGGAATCCATTCACACTTCACCAAAACGCATCCGCAATTTGACCAGATGAGATCCAATCGTACTTTTCCTGAGTGAAAAGCACGTGAGCACACATTTTACTATTGTTTACTCTTTTCCCTGTTACGATAGAGTCGACAAGCTCGGCTTGGACACTTTCATCAGCCTGGAGTGCATGAAGGCAGTTGTTTTGGGGATAACTTCAGCCTTGCGTATCCACAATATTTCATTTTATTGTTTAGAATCTCACCTGCTTGTCAACGCTTGGCAGACACGTTTCCTCTCTCGTAACTGTATCCAGATTTTTAAGGAACTGAAAAACTGTCTTATACCCATGTATGTTCTAAACTACTGGTCTTCTGTTCTTCTAGTATTAGGATGTTTTCATACCTGAAAGTCGAACCAAGGTTCAATGTTTTAGTTTTGGTTTCATGTTGATATTTAGTGAGCACACCAAAGAACTTTGCATGACACACGTTCAACCTGTTGTCACCTACGTGGGCTGCATCTCCCTGTAGCCTTTTCTGTTTGAATGGAGAAAAATGAATGAACAGATTCATTTTGTTGCCATTATAAAACTATTATGGCATTACTACCAGCAGCACCACAACTTCAAACGCAGTGCTAGAGACTGTTCGAATTCACCAAATGAACATCCAGGTCATTCAGAAATTATATTGTTGCTGGCAACGTTTTCATCTGACCAAATTAGAATTAAATATTTTGCCTTAATTAAGTATTTTGGTCTGGAGCGTTGTCCAAGGCACCTATTCACACCTGCTATTTTGGATCTGTCCATACTGAAAAGTCCGAAGCTTCGGTCTAAACAAGGTAGTTCCCTAGCAAGCACATTGTCAATTATTTTTGGAAATAAATGCAGCGAAGAGCATGCTGCCTAGCAATCCAGAGCAGTCTGTAAACTATTTTGGCTGCTCTGAGCGATTAAATTGTCGCAGGCTGCTGTTGCGCAGGCTGCTGTTGCGGCAGGCTGCTCTTGCATACGAGGATATCGAGGCAAAAGTAGCATAAGCTAAAAGCTCAGCATTCTAAAATCTGTATGAATGGAATATAAATTTGACACTACTTTTAAATACCAGCATGTTTGTCTTTACCAGCTTACTGCACAGTCCAAACATCTCAAACAAGTGTGCTACGTTACTGCAGGAATGTTCTGTAGCTGGAAGCTCTTCCCTGTTGCCTCTCATTAGCATATTTTAGTAAATTGGATGCACACACACACACACAGACACACACAAACACAGACACACACACACAAACACACACAAATGAGGTAAACCAACTTCGTAGATAGCATTTCCAAACGCACTAATTTCCCGCTTTGTCATATACCAGGCTAAAGGCTATTCCAAAACAGTAGTAATCAGTAAAAAAGCTGGATTGATATAAACACAACCAACACTGCAGCACCTTCGCTATAAAGCATACATCCGCTCTGCACAGACACAACTTCTGCCTGGAGAAGACGACAAAACTAAGTTAAAATCAGACAGCTGATGTACAAATACAAAGAGAAAACACAACAAATCTGAACCAAATCATTGTAGGCAAAAGCATATTGGCACAGTGGGCATGAAACATGTTTATGGTCTATTAATGTCTTACCTGTAATGACTCGATACATTGAAGTAATGTTAGATATTTGCTGTGATTTTTCACATCTGTTTCAGCTTTGGACGGGTAGAAAATGGCATTCTCACAGAATCGCACTGAATTTGATACGCTAATCTCTCGAGGATAATGTTAGCTTTTTTCTAATTTCTGTTCCACCTTAAGTAGTACAGCAGTTGCCCGCCAGCACCTGTACAAACATCTGAACGTAACTACATCATTTAAGGTGGAACGGGAAATGAGAATAAGAAGCTTACCCCAGCTTCTTCTAATCTCTATCCACTGTACTGAGACTCAGCAAACCGGGGCTGTGCCACTGAGGTGGGGGCCACTGGTTTAACACCTAAATTAGTACAGACTACAAATTGAACGTTCTTGTGCTTATGTGTGTGAGTTTATTATTATTAGCTCACAGTAACTGGCCCGAAATGCTACCAGCCCATGGGGAATTCTCCCAAGTGTCCAGATTACCCACTCTGGCACTGATACAGAGTTGCAGTGTGGATAGTACTACCATACATAGATTTCAAGGCACTGCACACGAGTAACATATTTTATAAGCTGTAAAAATGACTATTTCATTAAGAAAAAAGGCTGCTTGATATCTGATGGTTCAATACTTGATACTTGTGGTGCTAAACTTTTAATTAATCTGAATAGAAATGGACCATTTGTTTAAAGCTGTGAAGAAAAATCCATCAAAAGTGTTATTTAAAATTTAAATTGGGGTTGAATAATGTGTGTTTCATGCCCTCCGTGCTCCAGATACATTTATCATCATGGAGAAGCGTTAATCAGAGTAATAACAGTTTGGGAAACGGTGTGCCGCGTGGATTTTCTGCCTCTCGTGTAACAGAACCCAGTTTCTCATTCCACAGCGATGCTGTGTCTGGAATCGCGGCCAAGCTTATTAGTCTGCAGGATTTACTGACTTATTTATTTTTCACGTCTCTTAAGCTCGCCTTTAAAGATTTTCAAAGGCTGCTCTCCAATTGATTCAAATCCCTTTGACTTCTCGGACCAGTCTTTAGACATTTAATTATTTAGGTACACCATCTTAAAGATAACTTTGATGATTAGAATAGTAGTTGTTAGCAATTCCTCAGGGAGGGGGGTGGATTTTTACACATTACACCTTAATTCCTTCATACCTCGTTCTAAATGAGAAATAAATTGAGAGCCACTCTATCAGTGTGGAATAATTTTGGCTCAGACACAGTTATATTTAATATCAGGTGTCATTCCACCTGTAGTTTTAAGATAAAGCATGTTTACCTCACTAGATACACGACTGAAATGGCTTTCACTGGGACTTGATTTGTAATGATATGCGGATGGAAATGTTCTGTATTTTGGTTGGTTAGTTAATCCAAGTCAGTGCTGCATGTATATTGGATTGGCATACTTTAGCAAAACCTGTAAATGTTTTCTTAATTACTTTTCCGCTACGGCTTTGACCTTCATAAGCATCTCCTCTCTCTCTGTCATGTCCTGTTTTTTTATTTTATTTCTTTTTTTTCCTGAAGTCAACTTTTAATGTTTGTGTGGTTTCATGTACCAAAAACAGTCACAGTTCTTTTTTTTATATGTCCATTTTCTAACCTCTCCTCTAAAAGCTCCCTCACAAAAGGTTAAACATGACATGGTTACAGATACGCTACCTGATG